ACACGATATTCCAACTTTATCCTGTCTAAGAACACGCGAGATCTCAGTTTTGACAAAACCGTGCAGTAACTTTTAATGATTTTTGGTAAGCGTTCGTCCTTGTTTAGTATTTGCTACCAATGTATGAAACTAGCGAAAAAAGGAATCTGAGGACTACATCACTTATGCCGGTAGAGTCGACCTCGAATGCGAACAATTCAAGTTCTCTACCATGACGGAAGACCAGTTCAAGTGCCCTATTTTCATATGTGGTCTTCAGTCGCATTCAGACAGTGATATCAGGGCGAAACTACTGAGCAAGATTGAACAAACTCCCGAGATAACGCTGCAGTCAGTTACCCATGAGTGCCAGCGCCTTTTGAATCTTAAGCGTGACACGGCCATGTTGGAGAAGCCCTTATCCAACCCTGCTTTCAACATTGCCAAGACGACATCGAAGCAACCTCCTGTTGGTGACAAATCGAATGGAGCAAAGCCTCCTTCAGCATGCTGGCGATGCTCCGAATGGCATTTTGTGCGGTTGTGTCCGCATAAAAAGCACAAATGTTCAGTGTGCAATCGACGTGGGCACAAGTAAAGCCAGTGCCGAACGCAGTCGACCCCGGAGGTCACGAAGCAAACGGAGCCAATCAAAACCCCGTTTCAACGCAATACTGGCAACATTTGACAACCAGATCGATGCTCGTCGCAACCAGAGCAAACGGAAACACAATTCGATTGCAGCTCGACACGGCTTCCGGTATTACGATTGTTTCCCGGCGCACGTGGAGAAAGATCGGATCACCAGGCCAACTATGAAGACTGACAGAAATGCTTCAGGTGGTAAGCTTCAACTACTTGGTGAATTTGATTGTGAAATGGAGATGGCAGGCAACCGTGATTATGGTATTGTCTATATTGCTGCTTGCTTAATCTTTTGGGCATAGACTGGGTCGATCGCTCGCATTTTTCAACACTTATGTTTAACTTATGCTCATCAACACCATCAGCAGAGAAGCCAGCATTCCGGTCTGAAAACCGTGTGGTTGCGAGAGAATATAGCCCCGGGCACCGAAGATGGACTGTTAGAGTCGTCTTCAAAAGAATGGATAAGGTGGTCTATAGCGTCCAGGTAGGATCATTGATATGGAAACTACATGTCATGTTGATGGTCGCCTCTGTGCAGTTCGCCTGGCAACGTTGTTTTGGAACCATTTGTGGACTCTGACCACGCGCTCGTCCGGAGTCGCTTCGCCCTACGTTTCCCGGGGCCGCGTAAGGTGCGGACAATTCGGAAGGCAACTGAAAGACTGGCAGATCCGGATGTCAGACGAACTTACAAGAATCGGCTTCTAGAGTCTCTTCCAAGTGCTCCATCATCAGATGTGCACTCATACTGGGACGAGATTGACACCTCTTTGCATAGTGCTGGGAATTTCGCCTGTGGCACGACCCGACCAGGCGCACTCAAGCATTGGATATCAGACCGAACGGTGGCACTACTTAAATCTCGAAGAAATATCCCAGCCGGTCCCGAACATAATCCAGTGCGAAGAGTTATTAGACGTCAAGTGAAAGTGAGCTTGCGATCTGATCGTGAAGTATGGTGGACACAGAAAGCCAAAGAAATGGAAGAGGCCCAGAAAGCCGATAATGCCCGGAGATTATTTCAGTTGATCCGTGCGACCGGTCCACGGAAACCGCCTGTGAGTGAAACTATCAAACACCAGAATGGAACGACCATCTGGAACAAAGCAGAACGCCTCGACCGATGGGCTGAATACTTTGAACAACAACTGTGGTGGCCACCAGCCGGCACTCATCTACAGCCCATAGGTGAAGTAGAACCCTGGACGGTGAACGTGGAACCACCTACAGCCTCGGAGGTTTACGACTGCGTATGTTCCCTCAAGCGCCACCGAGCTCCCGGTCCGGATGAC